AAAAAAAAAAAAAAAAAGGAAAAAAAAAAGAAAGCAAGAAAGAAAGAAAGAAAGAAAAGTTCCTTAAAGTGTTCTTTCTTGTCAGTTCTCAACTCTTTTACTGTATATAATTTTTTTTTATTTTGTGCCACATTTTATCAACACATAATCATATTATTAGAATTTTTTGATAATTATGTCGATGCGTGGCAAAAGAAAGGGAGTTGAACCACGAACCATTCACAACTTGTGTTTAACTTGTCGGAATAATAAAGACTTTAATTTTCAGGGACCAGAGAAGGATCGCAACAGCCCCGATGACAATCATGACCATGTTGAAAACTTCAAGGATCCTTGAATACCCGGAAGTGCCATGCTGACCCGGAGGTTGACGTGTAATGACCCTCCGTCCTTTACGGTTGCGAGCTGACGTTGCACATTCTGCTGTGCACAGGCCAGTCCATTGTCCATCAATGTTAGCTCTCTTGCCCCACATCCTTCTTTCAAGAACATCTTTCAGAATGATCTGGTGTTGTTATAAGTGACAAAAGTATTGTATTTTTCTACACTTTTTAAGCAGGGCTTGTCTTGTATGGAAAATTTGACACACCCCATTGTTCGTCTTTTTTTTGTTTTCCAGGTTCATGGATCAGATCATCCCAAAATGCCCGCAAATGCCCTCTATCCCGCTCGATTCCAAAAATCTTGCCCTTATACCCAGTTCACACAATCACTTTATTGATTCATTTGACTCAGTCGGGTCGGGGCAAGCCAGAATCTTCTCTATGAAGGGACAAAAGCTATTATCTTATAAACACTGCAATCGATTCGACTTACAGCCTTGAAAAATAAACAAATTTGATTTTCAAGGTCACAGTCGAATTTAGCTGAATTCAATTAATCGTACTGTGCCAAAATTGTAGCTTTTCCCCCATCCATGAAAGAAAATCTGGCTAGCCACAACTGAACTACAATATGATACATTGTGTATGCCTAATATATGAATGAAATTTGACAGTGTACTTGGGTATTAGAGCGGATGCCCATTAGCCAAATGGATCATCAGGTCGGGTGGGGTCGGGTCGGGTAATGGCACTGGCTAAAGCACACTACTTTATTGACCGACATCTCTATTCATGGACAGCGAGAACCTCATTTTGTCAGTGCGCTTCACAAATAGAACGAGCGGACCAAACCTTGACACCCACCAATCACCTGAGTGTCTCTGGGTGTGGATTAGAGAGATCATAGCCCCCAGATCGTTATCCGACAAGGTAGTCTTTATATTATAAAACTATCAGCTGTAAATACACACTGGAGACTGGAGGCTGCTGTCTTTCAGGATCTTTGTGATTCTATGTTGTGGCTCGACTTGGGTGCCCTGAATCAGAAATCATTTGAATAATAGAAAAAATAACTTTTTTAGAAAGTTTTGAACGCGGCGTTAAAAACTCCACAAGTATTTTGAAGAAAACTATCATCAGAGTGGAGACCGGTGCATGATTCGGTTCTGAATATATGTATCAGATATTAGTGATATCGTCTACATTATTTCCAATAGTGTCTTCCAGCAAGCTCTCGATCACTCATGAAGGTTGGGGCTGACATCTACGATCGAGGCCCAATGTCGCTTCCATATTTCGGATATTTTATTTTTTTAACACCTCATTGAATGAATTAATGGAGTATGGATCGGTCTCAGATAGACATGTAAACGTCTGCACGGGGCCCGAAAAGACTAAGAACGGCGCATTTTCCTCATGAATTGAGACAAACAGATATTTAAATAGCCACAGGTTCAGTGCTCAGCACATATTCCTTTTCACCAAAATACGATTTATATGTAGATTCCTTTGAGCTTATAAAAAAATAAGAGCTGTCAATGATTAATGATATTCTTTTCTGGTACTTTTAATTTATTGAAAGACTTCAAACTGCAAAAGAGCTGTCGTTTCTCGTTCTGCAGAATACACCTGGAAGTATGTTCCTCGCCACACCCCGTGTAAATGTATTTTTTTCATTGCAAATTATGCTTTACTTTATGCCCTCATCGACACAATATCTAGATCAACTTAGACTTCAACTTTGCTTGTCAGGACCAACCTGGTCCCAGTCTCAGCAGACATTCGATAAAAATGTTCCAACCTAGGCCCCCAGAAACCCAGAAAATCGGGAGGCTTAGGTTCCAACCCAGGTATCGAAAAGCACTTCCTCTACGTTCAATGGTGAAGAGCCTAAGAGTTACATCTCACACGCCAGTCCACCGCATGTTCGACTCTCTCTCTCTCTCTTTCTTTAAATCTCAATCGGTCTGTCTTTCTCCCCTTCTCCCACCTCTCTCTCTCTCTCCTCTTTCTTTATCTGTCTGTCTTTCTCCCACTCTATCTCTCGGTTATCCTCCAGCACATCCAGTGTTCTATAATCTAGCAGAACAAACTCACCTCGAACTACCTTCAGACTAGACGCAGGAGTTGCCGGTAGTGGAGAGAAACATGGGCTGTAAATTGTAAAGTCTTTTTTTTAAAATGCCCCATACAACTAAAACCCAAAAAGAAAATTGAACCGGCGTCTGAAGTGTTAAGGTCAGATTCTTCGCTTTGCACACTCAAGGCTCGAGTTCCATTCCCTTGAAGAACAGTAGGCCTATAACTGTAATAATTATAGGCATACATTTATTTCGTTGAGTATTCCTTTCTACCTGCAGGGGGATTGTGTATCTATCTCTCAGCCTGGGTTGTCCTTGACAGGTAGGGTCGAAACAGTCCGCCTCCTAAATGATCTTAAACATTTTGAAGGAGGTATAAAACATTACAAATAAATTACACACAGATGTCCAACTGTAAGAATTATAGATGGAAGGTTAAATAATGACAAAGTCGATTTCATAATGAGTACTGGATCTCGAGAAGTGTTACGACATTAGCACCACAGACTGAATATTCAGAAAACTGTGTAGAGTGGAACATTGTCACTTTCATCCACATCGGAAAAGGATGGAAAGCCTCGTATGTGCAACTGTCCAACTACCTTGATATCCTGCTGTATTTTAGTCATTTCAGCATGCTCTAAATGATTTTTCTAACAGGCCAGGCCCGTTTTTTGAGTTCATGTATTAAAAATAAAATAATACAGTGGAATCCTGTTATAACGAGAGGTAGGGGACCGGTGCGAAATGGCCGTTACAGCAGGATTCTCGTTATGAGGGATCCAGTAATAATTCATAGGAAATAGTAAAGTAGGCCTAATCTATGAGTATGGTGTTCTGTTTATTTCTTTTTGTATTTCCCCTGATAATGATTTGGTTAAACATGATCTCTAGGTCTTACTTGATCAAAAATCGAATCAGGTTTCTTTCTCTAGCACTAGCAATGTTGACAGCTCGGCGTTGGCGATCAGAAAGAAGGGGCTCTGGCTCTAGGCTAGGTTCACTCGCCCGCTGTGTTGTCCCCCACCCCACCACACCGTGTGGTGCGTTGCGTCTGCTTGCGCACGTCACACATTCACTCCATCTATCACCGCATTGTTACCTCTCCATCCTGCACGAGAGAAGTGAGAGGCACGGTATGCCTAGATAATCTAGACTGGGCTGGTCTATCACGCGATGCGTTCTGCTTGTCTGCGCATGCCACACCCTCCCCTCTCATTCGCCCCGGCCTTCATTATTGGTTCGCGTGGGCTCTCCCATTCTTTGTTTCGCTGGATCACCAACAACTTTCTCAGCTGGCGAGGGTTTAATATGTTTAATTGGTCTGTGGGCTGTGCACAGCAGCAGCAATAATCCGTTATAAGCGATTCACGTGACTGTCTGATAGCGCAATAGCAGTATTTTATTTACAAAGATAAAGAAGGGGAAAAACAGGGTTTTAGAACAGTGTCTTTATAACAGACCTCGTTATTCCAGGACTCGTTATAAGTGGATTCCACTGTAATGATAACTTCACGGGATTAGAGAATTTCTCCACGTAAAGCAGATTTCGTGCAGTCAAATGAAGTCACAATGCATAGAATAAAGAAGGAAAAACTCTGAGACTTTGAAATCCCTTCATGCCATTCATTCGTGGTAACAGGAATTTTGTGTTCAATGGCTGTTTGACCTGGCAGTACATAGTGAATGAATGCAGTTGATTTACAGTCGAACCTGCTCTAATGGCCACCTGTATAAGACAAATATCTGTACATGATATGGCCACTCATCATTTTCTCCCTGGTGTATTTTTTTTTTGGTACATTATATTGTCACTGTGTAAGACGTTCCCTGATTAAGTCTAACACAGCCACTTTTCCCTCCCACAATAGCTGCCGTCTTAGACAATCTCAACTACAACTCACTTTTTTTAACAACAGCCCCCTTAGTTTCCAGTCTGCTTGAAGTTAAACATTCCTCCCTCCAAAATAATTTCACAAAAAAAACAAAGACAAATTTTTAATGCAAATGGGGACACCCCCCCCCCCCAAAAAAAAGCAAACTCACAACAACCACCTCCCCCACAACACAATAGAGGACACAATGCTTCTTGTTATTTGTTGTAGTCCATTCTTTAATGTCGTAGAAATGTCCTGCCATGTGCTCAGTAGGTCACTCACAGGATAGTATGGGTCAGAACTCACTTTGAACAATGGTGACAATAGTGTCACTAATGGATACACTTAGATAAAACCTTATCAAAGAAACATTTGCAAAATAAAGTAAAGTAAAAAATATATAACTTTTTAGATAATCGGAAGTAGTCTAAACAACATGTTTTTAGGAAAAAAACACCTATTTCTTCAACCATAACAAACTGGATAATGCTATGAATTCATACTTCCCAAATAGTCACAGATTGAGACAATGGTCAAGCGATGAACTCCCAGTGATGCACTTTCTTAGAAAGCTTTATATTTAGATCTACATTTTCAAAGTTTCTTTGTGATTACATATAAAATTTGAACTCAACAATTCAAGTTGGGAAAATGTTTCATGGCCGTAAACATTAAGAATAATAAATCAGTGAAAGTGTGAGGACCTCATCCATCTTTTCTGTCTCAGAGCACAATAAATCAAGATCTGGAAATTACACAATAAATACAAATTTACTCACAAATCTTCTACAGTTTTTCAGTCTCTATGAAATCATCTTTCAGTCCTTCAAAAACGCAACAGGAAGAATAATGGACATAAAATTAAACTCACAATATTTTACATAAAACTACTTACATGTGCATTAATATCTACAACAAAAAAGCACACTTCATCAAATTTCACTTGTCCCTAAATGCATCAACATCCATTTCATACTTAAAAGGCTTATGAGGCTGTCAGGTATAAAAATTGTTTTGTTGAGACTAAAAAATCTTACCAGACTTTTATACAAGAGCCTCGACAAAACGTTTAAGTTGTTTATCATCATTATTTACATGGTGTCTTTCATTATTATCAGTTTATAAGTATTAATGTTGTCTCGTCTATTTACAATACAATTTGCATGCAATATAAAAGCCTCAGTTACATCTTGCCAAGCCACCCAGAACACTTGAAGAATTCATTTTTGTTCTCCAAGACTGCACAAATACACGTCTACTATTGCGCACATACAAAATGAAAAGACAAAAGCAAAACAATCATAAAAATCTTGATAAAAATTCTGACCCCTCTTACACAGTACATACTGTGCAAACGACCGAAGGGAAAACAGAATACAACGATTTAAAATAACTGAAAAAAGAGAGATGGAGTAGCAGGATATAAACCACACATATGTCAGGCATCTTAAACTATTTTTGCACACTTATCACACACCCAAGGTCTTTTTCGATACATTTCACACATCCAAGGCCCGTTTTTGATACATGTATTCCTCATTAAAAGTTTATTTTGACACATCTTTCACACATTAAAGGTTTATTTTGACCCACATTTCACACATTGAAGGTTTATTTTGACACATTTCCCCAAATACAAGATATACTTTCATGATTCCAAAACTTTTAAGAAAGAAAGAAAAAAAATTATATTGCCACAGCAGTCTCATACAAAGACTGAAAAAAACCTAATATACACCACATCATACAATTCTCTATCTTTGATTTGAAGGAGGAAAAAGTAAGTCAAAGCATTTGCACTAACCAAGAAAAAAATACATCTCCTTCCATGTTATTTAAAATCATAATTCAGTATTCTGCACTTCATAATATGCCAGATCACAGATGGTTTAGCTGTGAACTCAACACACAAGGAGCAAAATAATCTATTATGAAGAGAATCTATCAACCTTTCTAAAAGATAAACTGAACAATAACTGAAGAAAAAGAGAAATGATATCAGTACATGGGATATTTCAAGGCATTCTTCAGAGGAAAATAAATATGGCCATTTTTATGACAATCTCAGATGCCACAGACAGGCGCATTCGACGCATTGCACAATAAGTAAACGTGCATGCACTGACATCAACAGAAAAGCAAAATAATTGATATAGAAGGTAAACTGTGTGACACAGATCAGGTAAGAAAACTGGACGTTGTGATGAAAGTTTTCAAGAGCTAGCAATAGATTTATTATAACAGAGGAACAAAAATGATTTTATGGCAGCTTTAAACAGGCAATATCTTTCCTTCCAAAGATGCCACTTCACTGAGGAAACTCGTCTGAGTTGAAGGTAGGCACTGCAGTCAGAGCTAACTTAACCAATGCGCTTGGTACCAGCTTGGTGTTTATACTTCTCAACTTGTGCTCGAAGTTCTTTGTAAACACTTTTCAAGCTTTCCTGAGGAAGACAGAGTAAATGTTTTTAAAATTAAAAGAACTTGCAAAACTAGCTGGTACTTCTGGTACTATCAAGCCATAACAAGTTTTTGATACCTCCCTAACAGCATCAAAAAGACAACTTTGGGAAGCATAGTGAGAGTTGCCATATAGGAAAATGTTATCGTTAGCAATTTATACTAAAACCCAACACTCTTAAACATGAAATTAAGACCTCATGAACATCTCAAATATATCTATCATGCACAGCTCTCCTTTGACAAAGTTACCAGATCATAGAGACACACATGGTCTTTCTTACGTTTCGTGTCATTTGCAAAACAAAAATCAACCACAAAATGAACGCTTTAAACCCCATCCAGCAAACATTATCTATGCCAAAATGACAGTAATAACCTTCATTTCACAGCCTTTTTTAGACATAATGATAATATATCCCCATGAGCACCAAGGCGAAGCTCATCAACGCCATTTTCATTCCAACGCTCACATATCAGTGCCAGACATGGACTCTAACAAAAGCCCTAGAGAGGAAACTGGTCACATGCGAGATGAAATGCTTAAGAGCGGTCAACAAAACAAGAAGAGACAAAATTAAAAGTGAAGTCATAAGGGACACCGTGGGAGAAACACCAGTCCTACCACACATTGAAAAACAAAAGGTCAAGTGGTTCGGACACCTCACGCGGATGCCCTCAAACCATCCAGCTCTGAGAGCATACAACATTTAATATTCTGGATGGAGAGCCAGAGGAAGACCAAGACGACGATGGAGTGAATCTGTGGCAGACACCCTTAAAGATCATGGGATGTCCCTCCTACAGGCCACACGACATGCTGCAGACAGACACCTGTGTCTCCCCGCGACACCCCAGGGTACAAGCGGAAGAAAAAAGGTAAAAGTAAAGATAATATATCGTGCATCTCCAATTTCAGTTGAGGTATGGTATCGCATACAGAGCAGGTAGGCCCATAAAGACAGGTTCAAAGCAGTCCAAATCCTAACTGATGGAAATTGGGCCCATGAGGACCATCCAGGGTCTCCACTCTCTACGAGGCTCACAGATTTGTACAATTAAAAAACTCTATGGCCGCCACCCGTTGGCAAGGAGAAAAGTGGCCATGTTAGGCAGGTGGCTGTCTTACACAATGTCATTATTATGTAAAAAATATGCAAGGGAGGAAATGGGAAGTGGTCATTTATACAGGTGAATATGATGTACTGGTGACCAATAGAGCAGGTTTAACAGTACACATCTATGGTAGGGCCACATTCGGATGGCTGTGATGTCTTGAGCAAAAGATACTTTCAACTAACCTTCTAACCGTACGCCCTGGGGTCATTTTGTCCCCCCAGGGTTATTTTCTTCACATTGTAGAATACTTCTAGTACGAAGTTCTCTTTGAAACTTTCAGTATTTCTCAAAAAATCATTTTGACAGACGGCTACGCAAAGCGTACGGATCGGATTAACGAGAAATTTTTCACTTTGGAAAAGGGCGGCACAGAATTCCCCAGGTCATCTGGATACGATAGTAAAACACGACATACGGATAGGGTTAAGAATGGGAGCCTCAACAAGAAGACTTTTACCAAATAAAACACTTTCAAGCAAGTGTCGGCCACTTACGTTCTCAGCGGTGAGCTTGGTGTACTCCTCTAGATGTTTGCTCTTTAGGTGTCTCTCCTGGTGCTGCTCCCGCTCTTTGTTCATCTCATGTCTGCAAGGGGATGTTTCATATTTAGTGAAAGTTTAACGGAACTTGCAAAACGTAAGTCACATAAGAGTCGAAGATTTGAGGTTTTATTATTAGAGAGTGACATACAAGTAAAAGGAGGGGAGATAAAGACAGATGTTTAAATTAAATGTTTAATAGGAAAGAAGGAGGAAACCATACCAGAGTGCCCGCTAACCACATAAGCAAGAGGGGGGGGGGGGAGGAGGAGAGAGAAAGAAATAACCAATGGTAAAACCACACAGTCCTGGTGACTTTGAGATGGTTCTTATTACTACTCTCAACAGCAAAGAGGCACGGCGCTCGCTTCTCATGAAAAAGCAGCTGGTTCGATCCGTACTTCACACAAACACGTTAGGTGAACAGTTTTGCTTTTATTTGGATTGAACAACTCCGGTTCTCAGAGGAGGCGGGGGAAAAAATCCCGTACTTGGAAAGGACACCAACAGGAGTCCAATTATACATAAAGTAAATACACAAGGGCAAGTGAAAGTAAAACAAAAATTGTCCTGCTGTCAGAAAGTTGGTTCAACCCCCTTCAAACCCCCCCCCCCCCCCCCCCCCCAACACCCCCCTAAAGTACCCAACAGAGAACAAACCGGGTTGAAATAAGCATGGAATACAGTTCATATTTAAAAGTCAAGATGGCACCTTTCAACGATAGGTCATAGAATATTTCACATAAAAATATGTTGCACACGAGAAGTAGCCTGCAGATGGTTCAATATAATACAGACACAACCTGCAAGTAACATTTCAAAACAAATGATTTCAGTCAGTTGGTTTACTTGTATATCGGCATCATCACAGATAGGCTGCGTTATTTTCTATAGGAGTCTGGCCTCTCAGTATCTGGTACAATCAACAAAAATTAAAAGGACAGACAAACATTGTTTAACAAATCCAACTACAAAAATGTTACAATTTTTCAAACATGGAACCTACAGTTTTTTTGTTGTTTTTTTTTTAAATTATAGAAGAGGGATTTACTGCACTCGCAATTGCATGAGGTCATATGAGCGCCAAGGGGTGGGTGTCAACAGAGAAGTCTCTACAGGGAATCAGACTTACTCTGCTCACCTTTCTAGCTTCAACAGCACAAGGTCTGCTTCGACTATCAAGGCACCCCGGAAATAGCAGGTCACAAGAGTGTGACAAACATACAAAAGAAGTTGAGCAAAACGACAATAGTAAGGATTAGGAAAGAAAAAGCAGCAGTTCCCTGTTGTAGATCAGGCACAGTTATCAGCGTGACATGAATAAGCCAATTTACAATTCTACTGTGCTTGAACGAGAAAGGCCCCCCCTTTGGGAATGGCCTAAAGACACTACAGTCAGTGGCACTGCCTCAGGGGGAGAACCTACAGTTTAATAACTTAACAAGGACTGAAGGACCAACAACACCAAAGAGGTTCTTAACTCCTAGAAATCAAAATTAATTTAAATTTAAAGGATTTTCCTGAAGAGCCAGAACTAAATCTGCACTGTCACATACAAATTGCATGTGTTTTTGTATCACCAACAATAATGACACGCTCTGTGTCATTCTGGCAGGTGGTAAATGGTAACAACACAAAGTGTGTCATTCTGGCCGATAGGAGTTGAGTACTGATACTTACTTTCTCTGAGTAAGGACAGCAATCTCTGCCTGAATGCGTAGATACTCCTCCGCCAACTGGCAAAGACACAGAGAGAACATAAAGATTTTTATCCAATAGGAAAACTTCACTGTTAGTGTTAATGTATTACCAGGCTCGTCAATTTTTTCAAAACCCAATCAGGGACACCCAATGTTAAAATTTTATATTTTGTAACAACCAACAATGTAACATCAAATGGGACAAGTTTAATTTTGGAGTAATGTATTTGATAAGGCACTTAAACTCCCGTTTGCCAAATCCCACACAGTACCGGGAAATACGGGACAGTTGACAAGCCTGTACTAAACCCATACCAAGTAATACCAACACAAGCGAAATCATTCTGTCATGGGCCAGCCGGGCTGAATAAGATACAGTATCCTTTAAGATAGACACAGCTACCTGATGAAAAAAAAATTACTTCCCTATTCAGGAATCAAACTCATTTGTTCTGTGAGCAACAAAGAACACCCCCAACCAGTACAACACAGATGCTGGTTCAAGTAAAGTTTTCCATCAGAGTTAAATGAGAAGTCGATAGACCCAGAGACCGTAAATACCAAGACGGTGCAATCCTTCTTCGGCCTTAGTGCATCGTCGGAGAATCGAGGTCAGCGACGGCGCACGTCGCTCTGCGCATTAATGAGCTCACACAACACACGCAGTGTTGTGTTACTATAACACGAGCTGTGGGGTGACCAGTTGGCCCCATTTTAGTATTTTTTATAAATTCATGAAGATACGTTTTTAAATATAGCCTCAATTGTTGTGGAAAAATATGAATACGTTAAGATAAATTGATACAAACTGCTGTGCAAAGTTTAGGTTAAATTGATTCACCCGTTAAAGAGATGTTTGAGGACAAGTTGCGCCACGAATTTTTGACAGCACAGTAAAGATCATCATGCAGTCTGACGTTAATAAATACACTGACTTATAGTCCACTGTGTTGCATTTGCAGGAATCAACTTTGTTTTCGATTACGTTTTCCTCCTGGGGCATTTTTAGCTTTAGATTCTGTCTTCTGAGCGACTGTTACTCTGTTCACCAAAGGTTAAAAAAGTGTTTTTTTTAAAAAGCAGCTTCAAACAAACCAACAAATTTCACAAGTTTAAAACTGGCTTTTTCAAGCCACCGTGACGACTATGTTCAAATTGTTTCTGGCTGATGAGGGTAAGGTGCTTTGCAGGGAAAGATGAGGAATCTTCCAATATCCCTGTACAGTCCTTGCAGACTACATCGTCTTCAAAGTGTTTCCACTTACGTCAGAAATTTCATTTTTAAGTGCATTGCATCTTTAATGTATTGCAAAATTTAACAAAATTAACAATGAATCTGTGTTTTTTTATCAAGGTCTACCGGAATTGCAACTATTGTTTGACTGAAATTCTTACTCGTTAGATTTTGATTTATCAACAAACTGTCCACTACATCCCTGCAACTGCTTGAAGGCGATGCGATCATAATTTTGTCGGCCATTATCTGTCTCTTCAAACGAAAATGTAACTGTTGTGTGTGTGTGTGTGGGGGGGTCTTGATTGTCAAGATATGTCCATCTTTTCCTCTCATGGTGACTGAGAACAGATGTTCAAGTTCATCTTGATATCACTGTAAGTAATCCTCCATTGCAGCTCACAACGTCTGCCACAGGACCTTGCAAAGCAGTGATGTTGTGGATCCACTCACTGACTCATATTAATGCTTTTGTAACTTTCGTTTTGTCTTCTGGACCAAACTTCATGAATTATCTTTCAACCACAGAAGTCTCTGCTGGGTTACTGGGTTACGATATTCGATAAAGAATGACACAAGTGACCAAATGAAAACGTTGAAAGGATCATCAGTCTTTACAGAAATCAGATATAGCGATGTCAGACAAAGGATTAATTCAGAGAGACATATTTATGTAGTGTCCCAATTTATTTGCTTTTGCTTTTTTTACTCAGCTAAACAAACGCTTTGTCGTCCAAAACTTGACACACAGTTGGTGAACTTGGGTGCCACCCTGAGTAAACCTAAGGCACTGTCTTTTACAGAGAAATTTTCAATAACTGCCCAGTTCGCAGTATCATGATGATGAGTAGGCCTACATAAATTGTGGTAGATCAACAAATTGTTTCTAATTCTTAATTAAGCGTGGAGGATCAAAGACGACTGTGATTTTATCACAATCGTGATGAAAAAAAGGCTTTTGGGGGTGAGACTTAGATTAGTGTTCTAAAACCCTCTGGTTGTATGGGCTTTGGTCACACGCAAGCCTTCACCTTCAAACCAACATATTTCAAGCTGTTAATGGCCTCTAACAATGGAACAACGAGCCGCACTTCCCGCACCAGGTGCGTGCTGATAAGGGAGCAGGTCAGCGGTTGACCGTCGGTTGACGCGCAGACATTCCCCCCCGGGAGTTTCGTGAGCTCGCACACTTTTCGCCGCATTGCCTTATCATGGTATTTATAATCATTGGATAGATCTAGGGACATATATATTCAGTTGATTTATTTGAGTACAGGCCGAAGGGCTAGAACCCAAATGGGCGCTGGATCGGAAAAGTAAAGTAAGTTTATTCAAGTAAAGGAAAGCACATTTATACAACAATGGTTATTTAGTGCTTTCGGTTGAATTCTAATTACAGTTGACTGGGAAACAGAAAAAGTACACAAAAAGAAAAAAGCTATTCATTGTGCAAAAGGCAGCATTACTTGACACATTTAGGAAGGGCTTTCTCATATCATTAGTGATCTTATGCTTGCTTTTATCAGACTCACACACAACAAAAGTGAAAGTAGGACCCGACAGACTCAATGAACGGGAGGTTCACTACACATCTAACAGAAAAGAAAAATACCTAAACCTACAATGGCAACACAGCATTGAACTGAAGTGCAAAAAATCCAGTCCCACACAGCCTAGCTGGATTACTAGCAACAACACGTGAAGCCTACTCATAATGAACATTTTATCAGCGAAAGAACAAGAGATATCCAACAGATATATGAGAACACACTGAAGGACAGGGTCTACTATGGGTATCACTTTCACTTAAAAAGACTTGTAAAAAAATATTAAAATCAGGACGTACATTGCAATGTTCCTCGAATATCTGCATGGACTCGGGGTTGGAGAGACACGGTGGTATGGGCTGAGGACAGGAAGAGTAGAGGAATGTGCCTCGAGTTCGGCGGTTCATCAATGTTCAACAAAGGCAACAATAAGTGAGACCATGCCATTCGACTTTTTTAAAATCTTCAAATTACCACCAAACTGAAAAAAAAAACCAGACTCTTTCCACCCACCCACCCCTGAAAAAGAAAAATTTAAGGATTTAAAAGAAACCACATACAGACACTAATCAACTCTATAAAATAAAAGATTCATTACCATAAATAAAACTTAAAACAATGGATGAAAAGGCATTTGCATTTCATTGCCCCAAGATCTGGAATGCTCGTCTGGTAAGAGATATAAAATCTTTAAATCTTTTTTTAAAACATTAAAAAGTCAGCTCATGTCTTTTAATTTTAGATTAAAGAGATAATTTCTAGATTTTTAAGTCAAAACACAAAGTACTGTGAAACCTTACCTGTAAGTGCGGCTCAAGAGAGAAATACGCCTCATTGTTGTAGTACGCATGTTCCACACTGGCGTAAGCTGCAACAAATAAAAAAAAAATACATACAAATGGTGAGGAGACAGTTACATATGATCCCTGAAGGCAAGCAAGACAATCAGTTTGTAGTCTACAGCCTGAAGGGACGCAGTAACAATACATTTCTTTCTCATTCAATATAATTTTCCTCACGTTAAAAAAGAACCTTTATTGGGCACATCATTAGCTAAATTGGTATCATGCTGGACTTCTGAGCGTTGATCCCTGGTTCAAATCTTCAACCTGGTGTTCTGAATTGGGGCGGTTTGAGAAGTTTTTACGAAGGCTACCCACCTATTACCTATCAGAGATGGACATCAAACCCAGGGGTTCCATCTCTAAACCAACCTTACAGTGTTAAAAGAGGCATTAAACCCAACACAATGACCAAGACCTCTTTTTGATATTTGACTTGATGGGCTCTCAGTGATACACGACACATTATGTTGGGCATTGTCTCAAGACAAAAAAATAACCAACCCCCCCCCAAACAAACAAAAACAATACCATCAGATATAGTTAGAGTGAAAACAGAAGGGCTTCACAATTCCTTCAAGGAAAAGTTGACATATACATAAAGGTGAACATCCAACAAAATTGTTCCTCAGTCATATTTCTCATAACCTGCATGTAAATTTACAACATGTCCTAAGGAGTTGTTAAAACATTCTTGCAATGTAAGATGTAAGCTTAGAATTTATAATCATACCCTTCTTATACTAAAAAGAAAAAAGGATTCTGATCGAGACAATGTTCAAAAGGCAGTCAGGGGCTTGTAAGACAAAAATATCTAAAGACAATTCAAAACGTGACCTCTACATTGTGAAACATTTCAGAACGTCATGTTTGATTTTTTAAATCTCTCAAAAAGTAAACAGGACCCTAAGAACTCCAACGTCCTCAGAGCAGCAGCGATAGTTATTAAGAGCTAAATTATTTTAGCGTAATTGCACATAGCAATGGTGGGAGCTAAAGCAGGGTGAAGCAAACTCAGTCTTTAATGCAAAAACACAGCAGGATTTGTTTTAAGCCATATAATGTAATAATATTGTTACATTGTATTTTGCTCTTCTTTGGCAATCCCAATAGATGCCGCCTGAGTCGTCCTTGACTTGGACACGTTTGTACTGTTATTAACCAGCTATGCACAAACTTTTGAGGAAACAGTTATCAAAAACGTTCATAAAGCAATACTCAAATGCAGCTCATCTATGTCACATCTCAATACTTCATTCTCTTTTACACACAAGAAGACATATTTTTAATAATGCACATTGCTCTTCAGTTCAAGGCAGATGCTTGCATCATACAACAAAATTAAAACACCAGTGTAAATGACAGTAAATTATGCAATGTACTATTAGGTCTCAGACTAAGCAGATGAAATCCCATGTCTTTGTGCATGTAGAATGGAATGGAGGTGGCTATGTAAACTCTAGGGTAACTAAAAAATGAAAGACTTCTAAGAATTCGTTGAAGTAACTATGGTATCTGAACGAAACTTTTAGTTTTAGTTTCAGTAAGAGTTTTACGGCACTTGAAGTGATAAGGGCTGAAAATTAGAAGTATTATTATCAGATCACCACACAAAGAAATGAAGGAGAGATAAGGATGATAGATGTTTGATGGGAAAGATGGACCAAACTATCCTGGAGCATCCGCCAACCACCCAGGAACTAAACTTAAAATACAGATAAAATTAGTGGTGCCAATAATACATCAACTTTTAGTGAGTGGTATCTTTCACTCTTCTTACATCCATATACGCACATGCCCATTACATAAAGCATGAGAGAAAAGTATGATAGACCACAATCAAGCATACAAATTCCCACAATATCATGACATCTAAATACATCAAACACTACAGACAAAGATGGTAAAGAACTTTCCAAGGGGAGAAACAATCTAAAATGAAAACAAGAGTAAGAAATGAAAGAATGACTCAAACCTGCTTATGACGTTGTTATTAAGCACAAGTCAAAACTACATTTTCCTTCATTTATTACTTTGCCTATCCCTTGGAAAAAATTTGAGCCTTTTCTAAATCTTCCAAGTAAGCAACAGAAATAAAAATCCAGAGAGATTTAAAATCTCAGAATGTTGGAGTGGCGACAAAATAGAAGTTGCCAGCATTAAGATGATAAGAACAAACCAACAACTAGGATGGCTGCAAATAAGAGTAATAGTGAGATTGGCGTCATAAATGGGTCTTCCTTAATCAATACAATTCGTCTGGTTTTACTGACTTAAAGCTCTAGACATCCTCAAACGAGATCAGTTCTGGCCCTCTGAACCACAAAGAAGCTTATTGCTGTTGGTGAAATCATCAGGCTGTTTTTAAAAAAGCACCACAAAAATGGTGACTGCCATAGCAGAGATGGATGTCTGTAAAACAAGCCTTTGCCCCAACTTTTTTAGTGTCTTCCCAGAGGAGGTGAAATGTAGACAGCAGGTCATGTTGGTTGAGGGCATTGAAACAAGGTGCAGCTGAATTTTGTTCAAGTACAAAAGTACGTAACTCTAGTCTCAAAGTGCATCACATCTTAATGACAAGAACTTTGCCTTCCTGTGACTTCCACAAAAGCAGAGCAGTTTACATTCAGTTCCGAACAATACTCCGTTCCACTGTATCCATCTCCAAATGCTGCCACAACAACTGATAAAAACATGTCACTGAATCCCCGTAAATAAAATAAAAAATCATTTTCCATACATATGAAGGGGTGAAGACATTTATGACATTTTGGGGTGCTGTAACAATGACCGTGCTTTGTGATAAACCAATGGTTTGCCTGCTCTGAGGCACTCACGGCTGCTGATCTCCCCGCCACTTTGTTCAAAACACTGAAACATTTATGTCCATATAAACTGCCGTGATCTCAGCTCCTTGACATCGATGCACACACGGCGTTCAGTGAAATGTGGACAATCCAGAACCCAGTTTTTATTTGTTTTGTAGTAGTAGTAGTATAAGGTTTTACGGCGCTCGCAACTGCTAAGGTCATATGAGCGCGCGAAACACAAGTTGTTCACCTCTGCGAAAGTTCACTTCACGACTGGTAACTAATTTACTTTAAAATGCTAAAAAGTTAAAATATTCAAATTCGGTGTAAATACATTTGTGATCTAAAACAACTTTTAAGTAACAATAAAAATTTTAAATAATATCAGATTCACTTTACAACTCGCCATAAAGAGGCCTTTATAAAATTTAAAATTCTGCTGGGAACAACGACGGAGAAAATATCCTGCAATTTCTTGCATTTATAATATTTCCTTCGGATCTCTCCAAAGTCTAGACATTCTGTTAAAATGTGTCTAATGGTAAAATCTGTGTCGCATCCGACACAGAACGGCTTCTCCTCTCCCTGTAGGAGGTATTTGTGGGTCAGGGCCGTGTGTTTTATTTGTTTACACGTTTCACTAGCGAAGACATTGTTCTGATCACTTGTAGTCTAAGCATGTTACCTCTAGGGTCAAAAGAAAACTACTAAAATACCTCTAAAATTAAAGTACATAACTGAAATTGATAGAAAGAACCAGAATTATTCATATTGATTAACATAAAATAAACTTTCCAGGACTTGGTTGACTGAATTCCGCATAGACGGGACTGACCTGTAGCAGCTGAATTGCTTACAAGTGACAATGCACTCACAACTATTAGTTTTAAAACAGTCTGCAACAAATTGAATTCCTTTGCCATTCAAAAAATCATTTTTTAAAAAGAAAATCAGCCTTCCTCTTTTAGGATCCCTTACATTTCTATCTTTAAAAAAATAATTTTAAAATAGGACTTTTGGAAAATGTAGTTTCAAAAACTTTATTTTGTTCCTCTCTACAGGCGAGTCCTGAGCAAACCAAAATGTCCCTTGATGTCCACCATCAGGCCAGACACTGACAGGCTGAGGTAAAGGGGTAGGCAACTAGTGCCCATGAGCGACAAAACGAGATCAAAAGTCCCGAGAGGAGCAGAGTTCCTGCGGCCGTGGCATGTACCTGCTTCATGTCCCTGTCTGGCCATGGCCGGCAGCTGGCGCTCGGAGCTCAGCGAGAACGACCGTGGCGACACCACGATGGGCTCTCTCCCCGGAGGCTGGTAGGACACAGACCGCGACGGTGGCGACATGGCCAGGCCGTCACCGGGACCCCTGAACACCTGGTGACCCCCAGCAGAGGGACCGCCCATATCCCCATGGCTCAGCTGTACCAGCTGGCTGGGGTAGGTGTTGCTGTGGTGGACAGGGGGCAGGCCGCTGGAGGAGCCGGGACTAGTGCCCGTGTTGATTGACAGCGGCGAGGACAAGGAGGAGAGTCGGGCGTACTCATCGGAGCCGATGCGACGGTGGCCAATGCCTGAGGAAGACAGGGGAGTAGCGGGCATGCACACGTAAATACACACCATCAAAGCGCAACTTGCCGAGAAAAGGAAATTATGCCCATCTATGTAAACAGAATACAAATCAAAATTATATGCTCTACGTTGAAGAAAGCATGCCAGATGAAACTGGACTAACATTCAATTCAGTGCCGCTGGTTAAAAATTGCTGAAAGCTAAACGATGTAATTAAACATCCAAGAAAAAAACAGCTTTAATAAGGGGAAAATGTACAATGCAACTCATAAAAAATGAATGTGACTAATATAGGAAAAGAACATGCAGCCATGCTTTACTACTAAGAAACAATACATTTGACAGAAATCAGCAAAATATTTCAATGGAACTTTTTTTTTTCATTCAAAACTACTTGCTCTATTTGCACAAAACAGTAAAGAAGATAATAATTAAAAAATAAGATCTATAGTGGGTTAAAATCAGTAGTCAGGTCCACTGGAGTATCTGATATTTCTAGCCCACTACCAGCTATTTCACTAACCTAAACTAATAGAGGGGAGAACATAATGCAGTTAGAATAGGTTACAGAAGTGAAACTAAGCTTATATGCAATGTATAATATGTCTGCCAACAGTTTTGAAAGACAGGAATTAGTGAGCAGAGAATTAGTAAATACTCAACAAGATTCACAAATCAAAGCCCTTCATTGTTATCATAAAGGTATACCCTATGCCAGCGGAAACTATAACCCATAGCTATAGACCCAGAAATACAATGGCCTGAAGGCACAGCACCTCCAAGATACAGTTTGTCATATTCACTGGCGGGAGCACTTAATGCGTTAATTTAAACGAACAGTCAATATAATACACTTCAGCATAAAGATGATAATAATAATATCGGATCACATTTAGGGCCCGCCTGTCTACATGGCTAGCACAATATGAATGGCTCTTATCATTAACGACCCATAGAAAAAGGTGCAATCTTAAATAAAACATCATTTCTTTTTCCATTGATATCAAGTGGGAGGAACCACTTTTTAGAAACCGTTACTGGAAAGTAGTGCTGATTACCAGTCTAAACGGTATACCGATTAATTTAAATTAAAACACTGCAGAACCTAAGCATGTAAGTACTGATTTTACATTAATCATCGGGAGAAATAATCTTTTCATCGATTTCTTTCAACCAAGCCAAGATATCTAGAGTATCAGTTTGAATGGCAAATTGGTGGATTCAATTAAGAAAACTGCACAATTTAAAGAAAACTGGAATATAGAAAGTCAAACCCCAGGATAGGGTCTCGGTACTTGGAATACATATTTATCTACAATTGTAAATAATGGGACGGTAATTATGATCTCAGGATCGTCAACAGCAGCACAGTACATTTACTATGAGATTTTCAAGTTACTTTCTCTCCATAGAAAAAAAAATGGTACTTGATAAATCGCATTTGTTCAACTATCACAACTCTTGACTTAGCCATCATGACATATTTTTAGTCTTGTCTTATTTACTTGGGCATATACACTATTTGACCAAAATTTGCGATCTAATAAGAAATCTCTACATAATTATAATGAAATCAAGATTTCCCCAAAATGGTCATATCAAAGACTGTGCGGTGGTCTTGAATCACAGTCAAAGTAAATAGCTTTGTTTCGGTAAAACAACAGCAAAAAAATATTGAATACAAACTCTATAAAAGAGAAAAAATAGACCAAAATGCCAAGACAAAAACATTCTACAAGAAACTCTTCTTTTCTGAGAGGAAAGCATGATGTACTGATGTTATCTACCAAACAGCGACGAATCTAGGATATTAAAAAATCTACTCAGCCCAATCTACAGAAAACAACATCTAAAAAGCTCAAGCTCAACTAATAGTGGATGGGGGAGGGGGGTGTAGAGTGATGAGGGAGCAGGTTGACAAAACTGCATAGAACTGAGTGGGTGATTCTGAACAAAAAGACAGTTGCATGGAATAACTCAAGAGAGGACACCACTCATACACAGTCTCCATTCGCACTCAGATTGAGTCTTCATTACAACCACGAGTTGTCCAAAAAATGTAAAACATTATGTTTTCCACACAACGCAAGAAAACAATATATACAGGCTTCTAAAAATACTAGGTGGTCTTCATACATTACTCAAACTTAACTTGATGTTTAAAAAAAACCCCACTCGGATGACAACTAGGTCTGGTTGAAATATGTAAATACATGGAGGTAAGACTTGGAAAAAAAAAAAAAAGAATGACAAACTGTGTCCAGGCATGTATCACAAATTGAGTAACATGCAGAGCTGATAATCTTTGGATAATCTAGGAGTTCATTTTTGTTTTGTTTTTTTAATTTAAAGAGGGTGTTTTTACCCCCCCCCCCCCCCCCCCCCAAATCAACACAAAAGTTGATCAAATCTTGGAGTTTGTGGAGTCAGATTTGTCCTGGGCAGGTCAAATAATCCCTTCCAGCCATTACGAACTAGACCCAGGTTTCTTTAAAGAATGCATAAACTTTATCAAGAGTAAGGGTAGGGATGTGGGTGAAGATGGCAGAAGGAGGAGGGTGGGGGCTCTAGCTGACTACAGAAAAAATGACAAATCTCATCTTTTTAGCAAGAGAAACAATAATGTTTATAAGACAGTGGTTGTTGAATTGAGATTCAAGTTGAGTCACCAGGACAACAGCTGCACAGTACACGAGACACATAGGTCTGAATATGTAATCATACTGAACAAAGTATGAGGTGCAGACCACACCACAGTGTGCTTATCAACCACCCACTCATCACATTGTACCAACATCTTCCTAGGGAGAAACAATATGAGGAGACCACTACTAATGAAATTCAAACCAGTATCGTAACAACCAAATCAACCCCCCCTCCCCTTAAAAAATAAGAAACAAAAACAAACAAACAACAGATAAAAAGGACAGCAGTCAAGCATTAACTGGCATCATTTGCAGGAATATAAAATAACAGCCTTTGGTTTTCCTCTCACTACTCCAACAGCCACAACATGCCCTTTCCCTCAGTAATGAGCACACAAAGACCCAGTTGCATAGAAGATCTCGGCTTACTTTTAAAAAATAAATATCCCGACAAAGCAGTACATAAGAGAAAACAAGGCAAATTTGTATAGAAGATCTCAGCTTGTCTTTAAAAATAAATATCCTACCAAAGCAGTAGATTAGACACAAAAGGGCAAATTTGCGTAGGAGATATCAGCTTATTGTACATGCATCCCACTAAAGCAGTAGATTATAAGATAAAACAAGGCAAACATGTTTAGTAGAAGATCTCATCTTATTTTCAAATATCCCACCATAGCAGTAGATTCTAAAAATAAAACAAGGCACTTGAGTTTCTAAATTCTACAGAAATGAGACGAAGTATTCATGAGAAATATGTCATCCATGAGAGCTTTGAGTACAAACTGAAGACAGCACTTAAACTCAAGTGTGCCCCTTGCTCATGACCAAGTTTTCTCTTCCGAGTTCCCGATACAAACTTGAGAAACAAACAAAGGACAGACTCTTCGAAAAATCTTCCTTATGTTCCTTTGAAACCCATCTGCAAGAAACATCTGTGTCCTTTGAATTTGGAATAAATTACAGCAAATCTATATTTAACTGATTAATGGGAACATCAAAAGGCTCAAATCAAGGGTTAGGGTAACATTGAAAATTTAGCTAAACCAAAAAAAATCTGTCAACAGCCAAAATTCCACTACTTTTTCAGATACTAACTCCCCAATTTCGCTGCCTACGCAATTTGCCATGTTACAATAAAGGAGAAGAACTTCAGATTCCATGATTAGTATAAAACCCAAACTGGAACGAAAACCAACCACACTTTTAAGTACCGTTTGGTTAAGATTGTAAGGATGAATAACTTTCATGCCAACAAAAATATTTGTCCCATTTCAGAGCTGCAATAAGAAGGAAAAGAGGAAGTACATCACAGCTGAGCCACACAAAGCAGTCAGCTCAGCACATAAGGGATCTGGCAAGGCTGCACAGCCTATAAGTGGATAAAACAGGAAAGTAAGGGAGAGATATGAAGGGTCTGTGTTCAACGCTGGCAGCACTACAATGACAATGCAACAATCTTTTTTAAAAATACTGGTAATCTGTGATACCATATTCAATAATGTCAAGATAAACAGAGTTTTAAAATTTCATCTGTCCAAGTAGTTTGTCTTTACTTTACGTATTTGCCAAAAGGGCATTGTTAATATTTTACCAGCTTAAAGTACCACCAGGTTTTTCATGAATGTAGAGAAAATGTATTTATCCATGATTCCTCCCCCTCCCCTTTAAAAAAATAAAAAGTATAAAATTTAAAAAAAACAAAGAAAGAAACAAAGAAAAAGAAAAAAAAAGAATCCTAATCCTATCTATGTTCTTAAAATCTACGCCTCAAGTTGGTTCACCTTCAAAACATTTCTTATCAAACCAAAATCCCCATTCGAAGCAAAAGCCAACCTAGATTTCTTTAGCACAAAAATGTACAAGAGCACAGCAAATAACAGCGCAATTCCGATATATAGGCAATCAAGAGTCGCCAATATTAACCAGCAGAAGATATCAGACAATGATCCTCAGTAAAAACTGAAACATCTAGCAATTACCACAACTGACCTATTTATTAACCAACCAACTGAACAGCAGCAATTACCACAACTGACCTATTTATTAACCAACCAACTGAACAGCAGTAAGTTCTGTTTTTATTTGCTTAAAACGCATTCGCTCAATTCATAATGTATGAAAAAAATAAACAGAGAAGTTGTGAGAAAAGGACAAACCAATACAACAAAAAAAGCCCTCAAAGAAAGAAACTAAACAAAAGAGGGTTTCCCTCTAAATGGCCCTCCCAGGACTCGCCTGGAAACCTCATGCAAGAGGATGAAATGATGCCAAGTAACAGAGACGTACCACCAAGCATGCAGGTTAAAATTACAACAAAATTGAACATTTTCTTCCAAATGTTTATGCAATTTTCTGCACAGCTCTGTTGATCTGGTGTGTGACAAAAGAGTTATGGACAATTTTTCAGTCTATGGAATTAATTGATTTGAAAGAAAAAAATTATGCAAACTGAAACAAGGTCGATTTTCATTCAAGATATTGAATTTGTATGTCCATATGTCCATTAAAAAGGAAGTTCCACCTCTCTCCGTTATTCCCCCCCTCCCCCCAGCCCCCCCCCAGATCTTCTGCATTTTCCATGTACTCCGCTTCTCTTGCATTTTCCATGTAATAATTCTTCTGACATGCTCCCCTGCTCAGAAGTAACAAAACTTGCGAAAGTAGGTCCAAATAATGCTGGAATAACAATTAATATAGTGTACACTGTGAGTCTGCACAGAAATTGGAAACTTGGAAAGCAGATACGTATTAGATTAAAAAACTTGGTGAATAAACGAGTACGTGGTCTGAGTCCGTACAAACAGCGTTACAGCGTAGAGCAAATCAGGAGAAACATACTACCTGCCGGTGGGGGGGAGGGGGTGATAACGATTTGTGGGGTGGACAGGAGGAAGGATGCGGGGGTCAAAAGGTCATCCACAGAGCCAGAGCGATTGTGCCTGGGGCCTGAGGTACAACATAAACAAGCAGGTGATGGCACACTCGACATCATGCCAGGAGCTGAGATGGGGGCGGGGTGAAATGTGCTCTTCACACTCACAAACACAAACATTACAGGTCAATGCATTCACTCACACAACCACAGAGAGGCGGAACAAAAAAATCTAAACATGACTAAAATGAGGAACTGTAGCTTAAAAGAGAAGAATGACTTTTCTAACACTGAACACAAACATCTCTGAAATCTGAAGGCCATTTACAGCCAAATTCATTCCCCTGCTGGTAAGATCAATATATAAGAAACACAGTTCAAGCTTAGTGCACAGATATAGTGCTGTGTGTGAAACATGCAAACAAAAATGTGGATAAAACTTACACAAAAAAATTTTAAAAACAACATGCACAAGCAGATCATTACCGATTTTTTTTTTACGTGCATAAGGGAAAGTGGAGTGATATGATCCCTCAAGCTGACGGCGAAAACACATTTCACAAGTGTACAAAAGTTTCTTTTAAAACAACAAAAACACATTAAAAAAAACAAAAAACAAATGAGAAAACAACACCAAAACACATCAAAATGGGGACAGAAGAGCTCTATCTATTGAAGTTAAATGCTTTATCTTTAAGAGAGCATAAGTGCACAGAAAACATATAGGCTCTACAGTCAGAACGTAAACGAATTACCTCAAGTAAAGATTGACAAGTCAGATAAAAGACAGAAGACACAAGGTAGAACACTGCTTGCACCAACTAACAACATGCAGCAGTCATCCAACAAAAGATGTAGATCCAAAAGTGAAAGAAGGAAAGATACTGTCACTTTTCGGTCGATATAAAAGAGCTAGTGCTTGCTTCAGGAGAAAAGTGGTCATCTTAGATAGGTGGTCCTCTTCAACAGTGTCATTATAACAAAGAAAAAAAATGGAAGGGGGGGGAGAGAAAGTGATCGTTTGTAAAGGTGATAGTCTTGGACAGGTAGTTGTTAATGCAGGTTTGACAGCATTTTTCTGTTTGAACAATACTCTCAACATCAAGAAAATCACAAGAAAAGCACACTCTCTGACAACATGTGCATTTCCCTAAAAAGAAAACAGTTGGCAAAATGGAAGGACAACAAGAAAGGATAAAAACTGTAATCGCTAAATGCACAAACAAGTCGACTAAAATTGTACGGTAAAGTGTTCTTGTCAGGAGTAAAAAGAAAACCCTACAAAGTGAACTCAGACTGGGAAAACCGTATTACCAAACAGCCAACACACACAAACAACCCACCAACATACATACGCACAAATAACCCTTAAACAAAACCATAAATGTCAAGGACATTTTAAACAGGAAACCTCATCCTAAAATGCACATGACCAGAAAAATATGTGAGGGAGAATGGTGGAATCAGGTTCTCGTCAATTTTTGGGCATGTAGAGTTATTGGTATCATCTTAAAGCTTGTTCACTTGTTTTTATTTGGATGAAAAAAATATCCATTTATCTTGTATACAAGTCGAGATATTTGCGAAAGAAGGAAGTAGGGGTCACTTGTTTTCAGAGGTAAAATTAGTGAGAAAATGGCCGCCAAAGATTAGTTATTTCCTTGGCTTAAGAGTCCATGGTAACTGAAAATTTACATTTGTTGTGCCTTTAATCAACGTTTTTAAGAAAAATCGTCACAGAAATGAGTTCTTTAATGGGCAGCATGAAAGGTGTTGAGCTAAAAAACAAAAATTTGATAAAAAATCACAAACCTGCGGAAAAAAAAAAAAGTTTCTTCACTTTGATTATTTTGACAAGAGCCTGATTCCACCACGCTGCCTTACATATGATTTTAAAAAATACGAAACAAATGAAAACAAAAAGAAATGAAGTGAACTGTCTCATCGAACAGAAATGATATTATGAAATACCCAGTAGAAGAAAACCACAACATACCTCTTCTTCCTGCATGATGGGGGGGAAAACAAACAACATTTAAATACAGGGGCATACAACATGCTATCTGTTTCAACTACCTCTCACTCATCCCCCTCTTCCAACCCCCCCCCCCAAAAAAAAAAACAACCCAAAAAAAAACACCACCAAAACAGACACACAAACCCCAAAACAATAGAAACATTAAAATACAGTACCTTTTAAAAGTTCGTTTCAGATTTCACTTCCATTATAGAGTCGGGAAACTATTACTGTCTGCACACCAATAACATTTTCTCGCTCACATCACTCAAGTTGGATTTCCAAGATACTACACAGGCTATAACCACAAGCCCCCCCCCCCCCCCACACACACACACACCCACACTGCTTGATTGTCTTTTCGATACTGTTCACGCTATCTTTACACCACAAGAGAGGAATATTTTTTTTTTAAGTTTTAGTAGAGGTTTTACGGCGCTCGCAACTGAATAAGGTCTTATGAGCGCAAGAAGATTAGAGGTGTTACAAGAGAGTAACAAACATAAAAAAAGAAGAAGGGGAGATAATGACGGTAGATGTTTCATAGGAAAGAAGTAGCAAACCACACCAGAGCCAACCACCCACGAGGAATCTTTATCATAGAGTAACACTATGATTATCTGATCTTAGCAGCATCCCAAACAACCTCCTTCAGGCCACATATCCAACACAAAACATCCCACTCAGGCTGCTCCTTCCTCTCTATCAAAATACAAAGCATGAAAAAAACACCAACTCAGCAATGTCAAGAGGAAAAAATACTGATCACTCGCCTCCCCCACGCAAAATCTGTTCTCCCCCCCCCCCCCACAATATAAAAACATTGATAAGACAGATGAAGATCAAACAGACTTGGAGCTCAAGCAAAAGAGTGATGCACTTACATTTATTTTTGTCAAGAACAAAGTAGAGTAACATCCTGTGAAGCATACCAGTGTCCCCGCAAGCAGTGTCCATTGACACACTGAACACTGGACAGTTACAAATGTACTAAGGGACAGCTGCATTTCAATTAAAATGTGGGTCTATCTTTCTCCATAACTAACCTCTCTTTCTCCACAGCTAACTTATCTTTCCCCTAAGTGAGCTTATCTTCCTCCTTCACTTGTTTATCTTTCTCCAAAGCTAATCGATCTTTCTCCTGAGTTAACCAAAGCTTATCTTTCTTCCTCCACAGTAATTTAATCTTTCTCTTCAGCAATTCTTTCAAGTACTAGATTTACCTACTAAACGTCTGTTCCGGATCAATAACAAAAACAACCAAATATTCGACAGGGGTGTCTCATTTCAGTACAACTTTCAAGCTATGGCAGAGACACAGAAGCAACAAACAACACACACACTGCTCAGCCAGCTGCTACAAACAACCTGACAACATGATTCAGACATTCGCTAACACTGTGACACAAGAAACGACATTTACAAGACTCGCTCACGACACTCACGCACTTAGGCAAAATTGGAACATAAACTTGAGAAAACACAGCATTCATTCACTCACCAACAGGGGGTGGGCCTTGCGTAGTAGTCACTGGAACAGCATAAGCAGGGGGCGTACCCTGTGACCCTGACCTTCTATGCCCTCTCACTGACCAACGAAGGCAAAAAAAAATAAGACATTGCATGGGGAGCTCATCAAACCACAGAACTTTCACACATGTACGAACTACAAAGTCACCTAAAAGCCCCTACACCTCACGCCTCTGACATTCTCATTCCAAGAGAGAAAAACAATGATGCCATATCTGTAAACTGTCACATAGCCTTCAGACTCCTTCATGAGGGTAAAACAGTGACTGATGACTGAGTAGGAGAGGCAATTGTACAGAAGAGACAACTGAACAGGGGAAAAGAAAGTCCTTCCACCAGCAGTCACTGCCCATCCTAGAAAAGACACAGATCACAGCAAGTCTGCACAGTTACAGACAAGCTTTGCAAGGAACATATTTGGATAATGGCAAGAAAAGAAACAAGTAACAAAGGCAAACTGCAGGACAACTCCTACCAACCACAGCAACCTGTGAAAATGCTTAAGACAACACAAAACATATTTGAACATAAAGAGGACAATATAGGACAAATAAGCAACATATCACAAAAACACTGTGATGAGAGCCCCCACCCCTAAAAAAACAACAACAACAAAACAGAAAAAAAAGCCAACAACAGAAAAAAATTCAAGCATAAACCAGATAAATAACAACACCCCCCCCCCCAAAAAAAAAAAAAGAAAACCACCAACAGCCTTTCAACAAAATTCAAAAATTCCTTCCAAGTGCAAATGTAAAGCACAGGAATCAGTATGGTGCTGACCAGAAGTGTGAGGAGGGAACATGTACTATAAGTAAGCCGGAGGTACAACAAGACTCTTGAGGGGAACAGAAACCATGAAGACCGATACAAAGAGAAAACACACACACACACAGTGGCAAGGGTGTGGAACAAACAGTCTCATGCCATGGGCAGCCACTGCTGCGCTACAATGCGTGTTGTATTAGTGACAGACAAGAAAGGGGCACTGCACAGCACAGTGCCAAAGCTGTAGTCACCTGTGCCATGCACACACAAACACATACACACACATAATATTACTGACAGCATGGATATGGGCTGCTTACTTTGAGCACAAAACTTGATCAGCTTCAAAACAATCCATTTCTTTCTTTTCTTTCCGTTTCTTTTTCCAAACAGAACATTATTAAAGAAAACAACAATTCAAACATGACCCATTGAGAGAAGAGTCTGTGATTTTGTTTCAATGTTAAATCATATGTTTAAGTCAGAGATGACTTGTAATATAAGGTACAAAATATTCAAGTTTAATGATCTCAAAGCAAGTTGCACACAAGAACTCATTATTTGCAATTAATTCAAGACTGCACAAAACCTTTAGAGAGAGGCAATGAGGGGGCAAGGTAAACAAAGTATTAATCAGCAACACACAAATGTTGGATTATTCCAAAGTGTTAACCTCTCTGAAACACACTGAGATAAGGATGAGATAAGAAGGCTGTGTAAAATACAAGATATAGCATCTACTGGTTATTCAAAAGCCAATGCCTTTCAAGTATGTTATCATCATATAATGACACTATGCTTAATACTGTGAACAACAAAATCACAGCACAGTTCTCCAAGAATTAAATGCACTTATAGTACTTATTATGCTGATTGTTAGGGGGCTCAATTTAAAAGCTGGAGCATATATAATTATAAGATGCACCAGTATATTCCTCATATACACACACAGGGGAAGAAAAAAAAGAATATGATCATGCGCTTTATACTGTCAATTATGATGAGAAGCAAAAGCGCATAGAAGGTTACTGGGTATGAGAAAGAGACTGTTTACTCTTTGAGGCACTGTTCGAATTATACAGGACTTCTTTAGAGAAGGAATAATGAGGAACAAAATGAAAGTACAGATATCTCCAACTGGTTCTGGGCCATTTTTCATTCTGTGACCACAAAGTGTTCTCCTTAGATTACACAAGTACCTCATACCTGTCGGAGACAATCTGAAAATCTCCTTTCTTTTTAGCTTAAGCAAAGAAATTTTCATGTATAACAATCATGCAAAAGTCTTTTTATTTACAACTATAAAATGATAAGGCATAGTAGAGGGGCCAGAGCTACAAATTGATCACATGACCATCAAGTGTCAAGTCTTTCATTTTCAATATCAAAGATCACTAAACCAACACTAATCATCACACTGACGGAGTCAATATTTATCATCATACCGAGTTTACTTAACTAAGATCTATCATCATACTGAACTCAACTTTGTAAAGTTACCTAAAAAGAAGTAAATGCGACAGTCCATGATGCCTTTTAATGACAGTGAAGGAAATTCTCTGACACTGGTTTCTAGTGATTATTATTCAAACACATAACAAACTCTCAATAAGCTGAAATAAACATTCCATAAGATGAGGCCATTGCCTATTTATATCTGGCTATAGTAAGATGGGGTATAAAGCAGTTTGCCTGCACTATCACAGAAGTACTGTATGAACAGAATCTGAGGAGGAAAATACATTACGAAGAACAGGCTGGACTTAAATTAAGGGGTTCTTAACACTATTGAGAAAGAAGGAAAGAAATTACTCATTCTATGAGAGACTTCACATTTCATGCCAGACTACTGGTTAAAAAAAAAGCCAAAAACACCTGACCGACCTCTGAGCTGGGCATGGTGGGCTGCCTGCTGCACCGACAGATCTAACTCATCTAGCTTGGTGTTGTCTGCCGACAGACGTTTCCCCGTGTCCACCGGTGTGGCTGACCTTGAACTGCGGGGGTCATGGAGACTCTCTCGGCTGGCTGCCAGAGATGGGGGAGCACTCATTTGACCACGAGGCTTTTTGTCCTCCTGTACGACAAAAAGAAAGTTGTGGGGCTGGATCAAAGAGTGTATTTACTGAGAGGTGAATCAAATAAACACTGAACTTTGCATATCGTCACTGTCATAGTCAGATCTGCTATCTCTGATGAATGCACTGCATCAGTTCCAACATTCTTGGGTTTGTCGTATCCTCACACATCATTTATGCACCAAACCTTTTGTGTATTCATAAATTAATTTTTTTAAACAACTCTCCCTCCCCCCTCCCCATTCCATCCTTACCCCATCACCACTGTTTCTCTCCCCAGAAAAAATTATCCAGAATAAGATCAGCTATCTACTGACAAACAGTGACGATATGAAAAACATGCGAGTTTCTGAGAGTAGTATGGATATGTGCTGAATAATAAAATGTAAATATAATCAACCATTAAAAATGACATGGACAAAAACTTTGCAGAAATGAAATTTTCACTTGGGTCAGAAGACCAGCCTGAATACTGCTACAGAATGAAATTTCCCTTGCTAAATAAGAAGCCGTTAAGTATCCCAAGTTTTCCAAACACTCTCCTACCTCCACCACAACGGGAGTGTGTGGGGCCGCCGGCCGCATGTCGTTGTGGTTGTAGCGCAACGTGTCACTTATGGTGCTGGCACGAGACTCGGCTGTCATGGCACCCGACGACGCCATTCCCAGCCCATGTGGGGTCACAGAGTACGGAGCAGCTGACTCCACTGTGGGCAAATGGAAAATACAAGGAACATGAGGTGGGGGGGGGGGGGGGCAACATGTGACGAAATGATGTCACTATGTAATGTTACGTGCTTATTTTTAAAAAATTTTTAGTAGAGTTTCAACGGCGCTCGCAACTGCATAAGGTCATAGGAGCGCTAAGGGGTGGGTATCAACAGAGAAGTCTTTACAGGGAATCAGACTTAAGACAGCTTACCTCTCTAGCTTCAACAGCACAAGGTCTGATTCAACTATTAAGGCACCCCAAAATAGCAGGTCACAAGAGAGTGACAAACATACAAAAGAAGTAGAGGAAAATGACAATAGTAAGGATCAGGAAAGAAAAAGCAGCAGTTCCCTGTTGTAGATCAGGCACAGTTATGAGTGTGACATGAGTCAGCCCATTTACAATTCTACTATGCTTGAACGAGAAATGTCCCCCCTTTGAGAACAGCCTAAAGACACTTCAGTCAGTGGCACTGCCCTGGGGGGTATGTTACGAGAGGTGACGTGTAGTGGCAGAAATGTCATGAAGAAAAAGATACCAGGAAATTTCAAAAGAGGAAAAAACAAAACAACCCAAGCCAGCTGAGGCAGAACATATTGTAACAGCATGGAAACATCATGTTTCACATACTAATATCCTGCAAAGTTCCTGAAAAAGGTTTTTTCAAAATAATCTTGACACTTGACACTTCAAACAAATTGATGACCTGATGACACAGGAGGGGGGAAATCCGACTTTCAGGAAAATAAATTGTTTCACACACTATCGCCTCTGTCTTGCTCAATAAATAGCATTTAAGAAAATCAGTTTTACTCAGGGCAAAGAGTAGCAAATAGACATAAAAATTGGCATTTAGTTAATAATAATAATAGATAGCATTTGTATAGCGCATATCCCCGCTCAGCAGCAGGCTCTATGCGCTTTACACTATATTATTACCCCAGCAGACCATAGAACACTCCGAAACATTCTCAGCTTTCCGGGAAGCATACAGTGCAAGCAGCCGATTAAGCGCTCAAACACTAACAAACTGACAAGATCTTTCGCTGTCTATAGCCGGGTACCCATTCCCACCTGGGTGAAGTGAGGAAAATTCGTGTAAAGTGCCTTTCCCAAGGACACAACGTCGGGCCCTTGACAGGATTCAAACCCACAACCTTACGGTTGCGAGTCCGAGAGCCTAACCACTAGGCCACCGACGCCACACAGGGAAACAAAGCAAGATAGAGAGAAACAACAAAGGGAAAGAAAAGAAGTCATAACTACCAGGGGCATCATCCATCACCCGAAAGAAAAGAAATTCAGTTGCAACAGACAAACAAATTACAAAACAAAGAATCGCAGAATTGCTTCTGTCACTTACTGCTGTAATCATCATCATCCATTTCACTTGTACGGGTTATGACCAGAGGCTCATCACCCCCACAGAAAAACTGGGAAATGAAAATGAAAGTGATATTTATTGAAATAGGTAGTTATTGAAGTCACCAAGAAAGCACAAAAAGATGTCAACATTAAAATACAAACAGGATTTCAACTATCACTCATGAAACAAAATGAGACTCATTCTAAGGTCTGTGAGCCACACAGAACTCACATGAGTAAACCCGAAGGCCATAAACATTTATAGAAAACTGGCATCTGTGGGATTCTGATCAGACTTTTGTTCGTACATTCAAAAGAAGTGAGTTCAGTTTCCACAAGGATAAGTCTATCTTATCGACTATCACCGTCTTTCTGTCAGCCCAGTGTATCCAACCCAGCCCGTTTTGACCCGAACTTTCAGAGTCGAAGCTACCTACCCCCTAAATGAGGAAAATTGTGTCAGCCTGAATGTAAAACATTAACTGCCCTACAGACAAGAAGAAAGTACTCTTTCAAGCCACTAAGCACTTCCATCAGTCTGCAGTACTTTTGAGTCCAGGATCAGAACAAAATATTTCTATGATAGGGACTACACATGCAAACATTTCATGACAGCAAAATACAATTATCCATCAATAAGCTCACACAGTGTACTGAAACTAACGTAAAACAAACAATCTACAACAAAAAGGTTTACAACAGCTGGGTAGAGATAACTCAACCACATCAAGACTGACAAATGTATTCGACACATCCATAATTCGGGAGAACCAATAACAAAAAATTAAAGAGATAGTCGTGGAATGGAAAATTGTACCAGATACCCGTGATTTCAAATTTTCAATTATCTCTGCCCAACTGTAACTCGAACCCCCCCCCCCCTCCCCACCTCACCCTACCCACACACACACACATACTTGATACATGCAGGACATGATTCTGGCCACTTCAGCCATAGATGGACGCTCTGAAGGGTTGCCTGACCAGCATCTGTGCAGAGAGAAAACACAATTGAGAAGTAACTGTAAAGCAGACATGTCCAAATCAGTTTCAGGGTCAATGAGTTAACGGGCCAGTATCAATAAGTTTTAACTCGGTGTGAATCTGGGTAATCTATGCCATTTGGGTATTTTTCTCAGATGCACAGAAAATAAATATTCCAACTGCTGCTCATTACATACAGATACATGTATCAGAGCAAAAAAAAATATACATAAAAATTTTTTCAACAACTGCAAAAATGTTCAGGGATGAAATACACAACAAGTTGTTAACCAACCTTGTCATTAAAATCTCTAGCGGTTTGGGCAAATTCTGTATAGGTGGAGGGCGTCGACCTGGAAAATATGAAATAAACCATCATTCTAATATTTATTGCAGTAAAAAAAGGAGGTAAGTATAAATAATGAGGCATAAAGTGTAATATGTTAGCTTCCAAATTAAAAGGGATTCGCTGTCCAAAAATATCCTGCAACGTACACGAGAACATTAGCAGACACTTAGAACATAACATCCCTTTAAATGTAAAGTATCAAAAATACTACTCTGATCTTAATAATCAAATCTGTTCAAATTGAGTCAATTTGCAAACTAAAATCTCACAAGCGCTCACTCATTCGATCAACATAGTCATAATAAGCACTGTTCCATCAAGGCAGGAGACAATGGTAATGCTGTATTTTATGTTGAGAAATATGGCCAAACAGTATAACACATGTGGCTCATAAGGAAAACGTCCACAGCGATAAATCCACAACAGACAATACAAATCTGCAGTCCAAAAGCAGAGAAATGTAACAGCACATTTCATGATTTTGAGCATAGAATGTAAAACTATTGACACCTAATATTGACATTAGTCACTTAAATAGCTTTACCACTCTGAAAACTACTATCTACTACAGAAATCGTCCCGCCCTTAACCTCAAATCGATATGGGCAAGTGTAAAAAAAACAATCAAAGCGACAGAAAACTTGATTTCACCAGAAGCGTCCCTCTGCAGAAATCTCTGCAACCTGTTCAATAAAGCAATAAGTCTACTAACAACAAAAGAAAGCCACTCCATTGTGGACACCACAGCAACAAGTCTACAATATCAAATGTATTAAGCCTCGAAATTTAAAAAAACCTATAATAATACAACAAGAAAATAAAATAATTCTGGGGCACATACGCTTTTGGTACTTACCGTTGTGGACAGCCCACATGATGCGGAAGGCCGGCCCGCCAATCTCGTCAAAAGGTTTTCTTCTAGTGAGAACCTCCCAAAAGATAATGCCCCAGCTGAACACATCACACTTTTCACTATAGTTGGAACCTGAAACAAACATGCAGAAATTTGGAGCCTACCATCAACAATGGTTACCATGCATTACAAAAATAATATTTTTAAAATAAACTGACCTATCAATGCCACCTTCGAGAACAAGAAAAACTGCAGAGGTAAGACTAGGGCAGTGTGTCCAGCTCTATGTATAAACAACATTTATTTTTCCAATTAAGTAAATTTTTATGCATTCTAAGCAAATTAAATACCACTACCACCTATCAAGTTGAGACTTCATATTCCGTCATTAGTTTAAATAATGAGTAACTGGATCACTGAGTGCCACCTTAATTACCTTAACAGGCCTTGCGTTGCAATACTCTCATAAGGAACAGGGAACATAGTAAAAGCCATTGCAATACAGCAAGGCAAATCTAAACACTACGACAACTTTAGGAGGATCGAACTAGCTGACCAAGCTGTGGAAGGTCCAGCATATCATCACTTTCCACTAAGATCTGTTTGTGGCATGCACATATGCCTAAAGTGCTTGATTTCTAGTGCTTTGTCCAGAATTATTTTAGTCCTGAACATGAAAATGGTCATGGCCTATCTATTTACAATGCTTTCAGTGAGTAAATCTGAGACCATTCTTCAGGCATATAGACAGTTTCTGATAAGTTAAAAACAACGGTGTGGGCTTAGGATCAAAATATCTAAAAGAAAAGTATAGCAAAAATAATTAGTTGTCTGCGACAATAAAAGGAATCTGATCTTCCTTATCAAAGATAAGAGAAATGTTTTGAGACTCCACATTTTTATGGAAAAGAATGTACCACTCCCTCTAAAAATCCAAACTCTACCTACCCTCAAAGACTTCTGGGGCCATCCAGGCAGCACTGCCTTTGTTATTGGTCATGTGTGTCTGGATATCACAGGCTGTGCCAAAGTCACAAATTTTTAACACTGTTCCTCTTGTGATCAGTAGAAGACTGGCAGAGAACAAAGAGAGACGTAAGTGATATTTTAAAACCTTAAATAAAATAAAGACGATCTGAAAATAATATGGCTGCAACACAGGCCTCGCTGTGCCCTTTACAGCACAACACTCACAATCTTTTATTCATTTTCTTACATCATTTTATCAATTACACTCAAATATATCTGAACTTCCACCTTTTAGACAACCTGTTTCGAGGCTCATGGGCCTCGATTTGAGAGCCGGGCCTGGACCCTGTGTATCAGGCAAAGGGGGACATCATTTAGTTTAGTTTTTGTAAGAGTTTTACAACACTTGCAACACAATTAGGTCATACAGGTGCTGAAGATTTAAACTATTATAAGAGAGTAACAAATATAAAAAAGAAGGAGAGATCAAAATAACAGTTATTTGATAAAAAAGAAGGAGCAAACCACACCAGAGCACCTGCCAACCACCCACGGACATCATTTGTGGAACATTATAACAGTAATAATTGCATTATAGAGCACATAAATATGCCCTACAGCATGTTGTATGCCTCAAAACATTAATAAAATGAAAGATTTTTCACAGTCCATAGCCAGGTACTGATTCCCACCTGGGTGAAGTGAGGAAGATTCATATAAAGTGCCTTTCCCTAAGACAATAGACCTGCTTCACAACATGGACAGTAAAAGTGAAATAGAAACATTTATATAGCCCTCTGTTTCCCATAATTATCTGAATACAATTCTTGGGAAGCATACAGTGCAAGCAGCCAATTGAGTACTCAAACATATACAAACTGATATATCTTTCGCTGTCCATAGCAAGGTACCAATTCCTGCCTGGGTGAAGTGAGGAAGATTCATATAAAGTGCCTTTCCCAAAGACATTAGACCTGTTTCACAACATGGACAATAAAAGCGAAAAGGGAACATTTACAGAGCTCTTTGTTTCCCATAACTATTTGCTTACTTTGCTTAACTTGAAGAACACCCCTTGTGTGGTATTTAATCAATGAAAGCCCTTTGCTAATTCCTCCCAGCCTGACTCGGCCCAGTGACAGAAATATTCAACATTTGACCCATGATAAGAGATATGTACACAACCTATACTTTTTCAGTATGGAAACTTTGTTTAACAAATGAGTGTTTTATATGATGCAATGTGGGCTAATGGCCTAAAACACTGAATAAACTTACTTACTTACTAATCAAAGCTCTGGCAGCTGAGGTTCAATTTCTTATAATATGCTGTACGAGACATTGTACTCTCACAAAAGGAAGTTTTCTTTTTCCTCAGTTTCGCCAACCTCAAAACACTTGTCACAAACTTCTTTAAGAAGTAAACTCTGACATAAAGTTATCAAGTAGACAAAAGATGTGCAACTTACTTTGGAGGTTTCAGATACTTTAGACATTTCTAAGACTTTCTTTGGGAGTGTCAGATTGTTACTTTGGAGACAAAAGACACTTTTTAAGTTTGAGATACTCATATGAGAAGCTTTTGATACTCACTTTGAAGGTCTGAGACAGTTATTTTAGATGTCAGAGATCAGTATCTTTTGAGGTGTGAGACAAGTTACTATGGAGGTCTGAGATAGAGTCCGGTATAGTTACTTTTTAGGTTTGAGATAGTGTCTGAGATAGTCATTTTGGATGTCTGAGACAGTTGCTGGGGAAGTTTTACGCAGTTCAACTCTACTATACATGCTTTCAAACTGATTAATTTATTAACTTCATTATGTTGCCATTCACACTCACTCACTCAGAAGTTTGCGATACTTACTTTGGAGGTTTGAGATCTCTGTGTACCAAAGCTTTGGGCTTCATGTTGTGGAGGTACTCCACCCCTCGGGCACACTGCAGGCACCAGCTCATGGCGTGGGCAGCCTTGTACAGTGGCTGCTGGCCAGAGCCGTGAAGGACTGCCAAGAATAATTAGCAAATACAGGTGAAAGGTGAAAGGAAATACATGTTTCTCACTCAGGGTGGGAGACGGGGGGGGGGGGGGGGCAATTATGAAAATATTTTTTTATTTTAGTAGAGGTTTTATGGCGTTCACAACGGCATAAGGTCATATGAGCGCCAGACGATTAGAGGTGTTACAAGAGAGTAACAAACATAAAAAAGAGGGAGGGGAAATAAAGACGATAGATTTTTTATAGGAAAGAAGAAGCAAACCACACCAGAGCACCCACTAACCACCCACTATGAAAATATGACGATATACAGTAGACTTTGTTTTGTAAAGACAAGACAAAACGAGACAGAAACCTCAGGGACTACCTTTTTGAGTGTACCATGGTAATGACAAAAAATGTGAGCTCCCATGTCTAAAAGGGTTAAACTCTCTTAAATTTCACTTTTATAGTAAAGTAACGGCCAAAAAAAAAATTCTACAAAAGGTGAGGAAAGTTGGGTACCGTACTATATGATATTAGAAAATCATCAATTTTTTTATTTCAATTGGTGTTGTAAATGACTTAACTCACTCACCGCCATTGCCGCACCTGTTTCAGTCAATAGGCGACGACCGCTCACCGCCGCTACCGCACCCCTGTCGTTCGCGCATTTTCCTCTTTATTTCTACTAATTGCCAACACATAAGCGGCAACGGCACAGCCCAATTACTAGAGTAACATCCCTTTGACCACTCAGAGCAGTTTCATTTTATTAAAATGATTTCCCTTGAAGTTCTGCATATTTTTGGAACGGGAGTTCCCTTCGTCTTATTTCTGGGTTTTGTTTTGAACGTCGGGGGGCCAAAGTTGACCAAACGCTAATGCGATGCCCATGCCGATATGAATTCAAAATGGCTTGTAATTTTAGAGATTCTGAATCCATATGATTCAATGAACTCTGATTCAACAGATGAAGTGCAAAATAATGGGAGTGATGGTAGTTTGAGATAGAGAAAGAGGTAGATCACCTGTCAGCAGTGGGCCGCACTAATACTAGTACTAGATCTAGTACTACGACTAATGTCAAGCATCTAGCCAAAGTCATCACAAATTTATCAATTTAGTTTTCTTTGTTTTGTTATACATATTTGTGTGTATTTTAAGACAAAAACAGCAAAAATATTGTACTGGCTAGTTTGGCCCAAAAAAATGTTAGTCCCCAAAATGTGTCGTTTTTTAATAGCTATAAAACATAAACAAAATAACAGTCAAAATTATTTCTGTTTTGTAAAGCTCAACATCTCTTACTGAAACTGGCCAATTTTCAAAAATCTAACATTAATAGGTAGAGAGTAACTGGATTTTGAAAAAGGTCAAAAAAAGCTGGCAGGCAGTGGCTTCGTCTGAGCTAAGACGCCGGCAGCAAGTGAGTTAAGATGGGTTTTGCCTATTCAGTAGTCTCCGCCTAAGATCCTGGTGCTCGGGATCAAGGAAAAGCGGGATCTTAGGCGAACCGGGATCTTAGCCGACAAACCCATGGAAGAATCTATGGTGACCCATGCTAAGGCTCACAATCTGTAAAATGGTCTCCCTCCACTCTAATAAGGAACTGACGTGCCCCCAGGGTGGGTTTATGACATATGATGAGCAAAGAGTGGTTTTAACCTTGATGACCTATCGCAGTGCACAGTGGCATTAGGCGTGTCATTTTCACTTATTATCCTATCATGAGTCTCAAGATCTACGCTTATCCAGTTGCCCCTCTCCTTTATCTGTCGAAACGAAAATTTATAGCTTTCCATATCTTACCAAGCCCCCCCCCTGCCTTTGTCGTTACGCACCACTATGCACCACCAATTAAATTCAGTCTATCTCACAAATTCAGAAATAGAGACAACCGCTGCAATGGTTAGGGAAGAGTTCACAGTTCGATGTGATCCTGCCTGAAGCGAAGTGATGTAAGTTTAGGGGAGAGCTCAGATGTGAGGGCCATGTTTGGGGAAAACAAACACGATGATCAGTTCACACCCCGGTGTGATCCCGTCTGGGGCAAACATTATATCGCTTCATCGAATTGTACATGATCACATTCATGAGAGTGGTTGATATTTGACGCGACATGTTTATTGATCTCAACTTTTCACTTTTGGTTGATCAGCTGCGCCCGCCCCGGTTTTTGTTTTGCAAATTATGATCTGAAATATTATATGGGATATTAGCCGAATGTAGACCTTCAGAGTGAATCAGAGTGGGATCTTAGGGGTGACTTTTGTATTGTAAAAACTCTGTTTTCTTAAAACAGCGGGTTCGTAAGCAGTGGGATCTTAGGCGGAGACTACTGCATATAATAGGCCTACATAAACACAGATAAAACCCAGAACAAACAAAGCACTTCATTAGACCATGCAATCACTTACCATTATACAATGACCCTCCCTCTGCATACTCCATCACCAGGCACACCTAGAACAGAAAGTATGTGTATCAAGTGTGACATATAGCTCAGATGAACACATTTTAAAATAACACTAAAACTCACATTTCATTCAGTTCGACTTTTTTGTGCCTCTTATCTCTACTTTAAAAAAGTCGAAAAACATTCATATAGAATATATATATGTGAGGCAGCGTGGTGGAATCAGGCTCTCGTCAATTTTCGAGCAAGTAGAGTTATAGGTATCTTCGTAAAGCTTGTTCGCTTGTGTTTATTAGGATGTAAAATATATCCATTTATCTTGAATACAAATCGAGATATTTGCGAATGAAGGAGGTGGGTGTCACCTGTTTTCAGGGGTAAAATTATTGAGAAAATGGCCGCCAAAGATTAGTTATTTCCTCAGCTTAAGAGTCCGTGGTAACTGAAATTTTAAATTTTGTGTGCCTTTAATCAAAATTTTTCAGAAAAATCTACGCAAAAATGAGTTCTTTAATGGGCATGAAAGGAAGTGACCCAAAAAACAAAAATTTGATAAAAATTCACAAACCAACAGAAAAAGCAAGTTTTTTCATTTTGATTATTTTGACGAGAGCCTGATTCCACCACGCTGCCTCACATATATATATATCAAAACACAAACCATTAACATCTAACTCCAATCTGACTTTCTATACACAATAAAATATAGAAGGGACATAAGTAAGGGGATCAGTACTTAAAGACTCGTCTGAATTTTCTCAAAGCATGTCTACAAAAGCAAGCAACATTGTTACAATAAAAGAAGCTCTTTATGCAGTACATTCTCTTACTTTGTACGTGTACATTGGCAAATCATAACTGTAAACAAGCATTTTCTTTGAAAGCTCAAAACTAAGCTTGATCTTTCTTCCTCTTACCCAGCAAAGAGTTAAAAGTATAAAGGACAACAAATAGTATTAATAGATTTAATATATATATATGTGGCACAATATTTTTTAAAAAACCAAATGAAACATGGGGAGATGTAACAACGGTAACTTACGGGGTGTTCCCTGCAAGCTCCATACAAGCGGACAATGTTTGGGTGGCTCACTCTGGACAACTGTTTCAGCTCTTGCATGAAAGCCTTCTTCTCCGACTCTGTCTCGATGCGTTTCACAGCAACATCTTTGCCCCTCCATTGTGCACGACTTACAACTCCAAAAGCTCCCTTTCCAACAACCTGTTCCAAGTATAACATTTATGATGAGCATGTTTCGTTCAAAGGAAGAATTTGGGTAATATTTAGATAGCCTCCGCACCGTCTCAATAAGGAAAGTTGGAAAAATCACAGTGCCATTCGCTACCAACCAATCCTCATTCATTAATAAAAACTCAATGTCATTGAAGATATCTGAACCAATTTTTTCTTCAGTAAATGCCCCAATTTCTCCCTCATGCATTGATGTATGATCATAGGGTTAATGCAAAAAAACAGTGCTGTTTATAAATTAGCACGTTCCTGGGGTTACCCCTTGCTGGATCAAGTGAGTCTACTGCGTTTTTGAACTACCAGTGCGGGACGTGTGGTATTGCTAAGTCTCTTTGTATTTAGTTAGTTAGGGGAAAAAATGGTTTTCCTCATTCTAAAATGAATGTTCTTTACTGCCCAAATCAATCCCATCTGACTGCCATCTTGAATTCTTTTTGATACAGATCATAGCCTAAAGATCAACCAAAGAAAGATGAAACAAAGAATTTACTTAAAAACCAAATTATAAACTATCTATGGTCACATGTGGATTTAAAGAAATAGAACACCCATTAACCATTCATCTCTAATATAGCTGCCATCTTGAATTCTTTTTGATACAGATCATAGCCTTAAGATCAACCCAAGAAAGAAGAAACAAAGAATTTACTTAAAAACCAAATTATAAACTATCTATGGCCACATGTGGATTTAAAGAAATAATACAGGATCCATTAACCATTCGTCTCTAATATAGCGATATCTGGGAGGCAAACCCAGGTTCATCTAGCAATCTTAATCTTACAGTAAAAATCCTCTGCGGTGTATCTATTCTACGTTGAAACAATAAACGTAGCGACGTAGCCTCCTACATCACATAAAACATAAAATGTAGAGACAAAATTTAAAGATAGGCCTAGATTCTAGATCTAAATCTAATATAAATCTAGAGCTCCAGACGAAACATGCACACCTAAACCACAGGCTTCAATTTTTTTTTTTTTAAATTTTATGTCTAGGCATTGTTATGAAAAACGGAATTGACGGAGTGTCTTCGTAAACGGTAACCGGCAACCGGGCACCTAGCCTTAGAGTCTACACACAAGAAAAAAAAAGAAAAAAGAAAAGAAATAAATGAAAGTGGAGAAAAGAGCTTGGATTGTTTACTATAAAACTAGAACTAGTTAATACAATTTAGCGCCCTCGCCCATTTGGTCTGTATAATTTACAATCCTTCTACCGCCATGAAAGAGCATTTATTGTCTCGTGCTTGTCTCTCGTTACGTTTGTATACGCTCTCTGTTCCTTAAACCATTATAATCTATTGTGTGCAGGTAGTTAGTGAGAGCTAGCTTGCCATCATTAAGTGTGTAAACAACGAAAGGTCCGGCCGGCGACCGGTCCAACATCTCGCTCAGTAGTGAGCCTTTTTTTAAATTTAAAGGAGACGCAAAAAATGTTTTTATATTATTATTATTCGTTCCCATCTAGATCTAGATCTAGAGTCGATGTGCCCGACTGCGGTGGTGACCCCAGCACGGCAGTTGGTCTAGTTTCGGCAATTTCTCACCTACTACTTTTGTTTTCATAAATTTAAAACTGCAGTGATGTCCCTTGCGCTGTTTCCTTTCTTTCTTTCCTGATCCATTGCGAACGCGCGGCAATTTCGTACCTGGAAGTCGAAATTTTGTCGTCGTACCAATTTTGACTTCGCTTTTTTAGTTTTCAGGTGCGTTTGCACTTTTTATCACATATATATATTAAAAGGGTCTTTTCTTAATGATGTCTATAGTTATTTATTTGAGGATAAATGACTACAAATGATTTTGCTACATGATGTGTCGCGATTCGTGCATTTTTCAAGTGTTGAGAGAAAATGTCGCTGTAAGGGCACTATGAAAAATACTTTGTACCGCAGCGAGAAAGAAAGAACTACATTGTTTTAGTCAGTTTACTGATGTTGCTGTATTCATTTGTGTGTGTGTATGTGTGTTTGTGTGGGCAAGGGGTGTAT